GACTTTACCTGGACCCTGATTTCTGAGACGCAGAGAGGGAGGGGGCAAGCGTAGGGACTTGTCCAGCTTGCGCTGCCGTTTAAAAGCCAAGTTGACAGTGTTGACACATTGAGTGTAAGACCCGTAGCATGACGGCGGCGACGAAGGTGAGGGGTGCGGGAGCTCAACTTGTACCATGCACTGCAAAAGACGCACGTATCTGAGGATCGTAAGGAAACTCACCATGTTTCTTCACTGCAGGCCATGTTATGTCAAGTGCGGAGCGTTGCGGGAGGAGACGGAGGTGGGAAGTAAGTCGAACATCAATATGGCACGTGTATATCACTTTACTCGTTCTTTTGACTTTTAATGTGTAACTCTGGGATTTATTACTCTGTCCTTTTAATGCGCTTCTTCGCTTCTGAATCCCTCTTTTATTCCGCCTTGTCCTTCCTTTGGATTCTCCTTGCCCACCTCCGGACGCCCTGCTTTCTACGCACAAACCTGAAAAAAAAAAACGCCCCCGTCTTTGTTCGCTCACCAGACCTGTTTCAAGAGGCACTTTCAATTCCTCAGTAGGTACGTACCTCTAGACTTGTGTTTCCGGCGACGCGCACTGACCGAGGCAGTAACTCCAGCTTTGATGGCACACCTAAAAAATGAGCCTCAGGTGTCGACCTCTGCGCGGCCGTCTTCGCCTCCGTACGACGAGGTGCATGAGCCACCGGTCAATTCAAGTCCTGTAGCACACGATGATCTCGTCCACTTTGACTCCTCCGTATTCGACGAACTCGATTCACTATCTTCGCCTGAACATATGCCCCACACCGAAGGCCACGTCCTTGCTGCAGCCCCCCCCCGACATTCTCTCCCGGGAATAGCCACCATCGAAGACCAGCAGCGCAGGAATCCCTTGGCCTGGCCCCCCCCAGCTTTTCGTTCAGGCTTGGCCGCGCTTATATACTACGACAGCGAGTCTGAGTCTTCGCCGCAACGGCCCGAGTCCCTCTACAATTCACCGGAACGGCCCCAGTCCCTCTACACCTCTGTGACGCGTCCGCTCCCAACAGTTCAGACGGAGGCGGCGGCTGAGGTCCAACAGGTCGGCGGCGGTCGTGACGCCACACCTCCTAAAGAGCTCCAGCCTACTCGCCTCCGGACCCAGATTAGGCATATTGAGTCGCCTGGTGAGAAGGGGGAGCGCCGCGCACGCACCTCCTTCATTGAGCACCTCAAGGCGGGCGGGGTAGACGAGTTTGAGATCCCTCCCATACCCCCTGGTTTCCCCACCGAGACTCCCCCCGACTCGCCCTCTGTCCCCGCTCGTGCCAAGACGACAGGACGGCGTGGCCGTGGCCGTGGCCGTGGCCGTGACCGTGGCCATAGCTTTGCTACGCAGCCGCCGCTATACACGTCATTCATCGACTACGTCGAGGCGGGTGACTTCAGGGAGGTTCCTCTTCCTCCCCCACCCTCTAATTTTCGCGCCGAGGCTCCCTCCGACTCGCCCTCCGTCTCCAGCCTTGCAGGAAAGCACGACCGTGACCGTGTGCGTGTTGCGGCTCTCCCTACATCACACAACGTCGCCACTGCTACGCCTCCGGCGATAGGAGGCCCCGCGGCGGTCACGACTGAGGAAACCGAGGCAACTTCGGCCACCGCTCCGCCTCCGGTACCTCCGCCTTCGGTACCTCCGCCCTTGGCAACTTCCGCCAGCGCTCCGCCTCCGGCACCTCCGCCTTCGGCACCAACAGACGCCGCTGCTGTGGCCGAGGATGATGATACGGTCTTCAACGGTGGCTTGTTTGATGGCGACGCTCTTGACGATGAACACGACGGTCCAGCGTCCAAGGGCAAGCGTGGAAGGCCGTCAACCACCCAAGTGCGAGCGGTGGAGAGATTGATCCAGGAGGTTACGGAGAAGATTGACGATACGGTTATCAACACCGGGCTGGGGCGGGAGCTCATTGTTCGCAAGCTCTTGCACGAGGTCGCCGGATCTACATTTAACCGCACCACCATTTGGCACCGATTCCTCAAGTATGCGTACCACACAGATAGGCGTCTGGACGTTGTGCGTCTCGCCGATCCTGAGTTTGAGGCGCCCCGGGGCGAATGGTTGCCCAGTAAGGATCAAGTTTCGGCGTCTTGGAGCGTCTTCACAGGGCTTCACGCACGCGAGCAGCAGGAAGAAATCCTCTCCGCATTCGAGGAGGAGACAGTGCTTCTAGCCGAGGAGACGGTGCGGGATCGGCAGCGTGCTTTTGAGAAAGGGTATGACATGCTCACAGCGGGCGTGAGTCACTTGCTACGTTCTCAGTCCCCGCCCACACGCTAACCTCCCAACTAGATGCGGGCGCAGTTGAGAAACTCGGAGTTCGACTCGTTCTTCATTTTCACGGGGCCACACATAAACGACGACGTTCAGCTGGCTCAATTGTATACCACCCCGCGTGCAGAGAATGTAAGTACGTCCTTGTGAGGTCAGTTTTTCTAGCTAATCTGTGCATAGTTCCTGCATGACATCGTCGGCGTGGAGCCTAGGGACTTTATTGGGCTGTTCAGGCTCTACACCTAGTATGTGTTTTCCGAATACGCTAGCTGATGGTCCATTTATTCATGTTTAGCTGTGAGGAGCTCCGGCCCGTTCTGGCCGCAGTCCGTACAAACGCAGGCACAGCCCTGGATCTCACGCAAGTCTTCAAGTCCCACACGGCAAATATATGGGAGGTGGGCCATATCCAGGCGCTTGCAAAGGCCGGGAGGAACCTCCGGACTCCCGTCGCCACCGGCATCACCCAGTCCGGGTCCACCTCCGTACCGCACGTATACCCTGCCGCAGACCCCGTCGTGAACGCCAGGGCCCTCACGTTGAGCTCCGACAAATCTACAATCCCCCGTCGTGATGCGGAGCTGGCCCACAAGAAGGCAATGGAGGCCCATTCCGCCGCCTTCAACACCGCCGCTGCCAATGGCAGTATCCTCCCCCCACAGCTTGTTGCTTGGCTTGAAGTACCCACGACACGCCGCGCTCCGTTGAAATTCGATTACTCAGGTCTATCGGCAGAGCAGAAGACGAAGATGAAGGCGGAAAATCACGCCGCAAATCGCCTGACATACGATGGCGAAGACCGCTACTACAACAACAACATTCGGGAGGCCCTTACTGAGATCAGCCGGATTGACCTCAGGGGCAAGGACATCTTCCACAGCATTCGGTCAGATAACATGACGTGGACAACCCTGCATCAGACGCTTTTGGACCAGAAGGTCCGCATCGTCGGCTTCCCCTCCCATATGACGATACCCACGCTCGCCGGCTCAGAGAAAGCCACCAACTCCTGGACGATGGTCGACCGCGCGGCCATGGCTCTCGCCCTCAAGGCTCGAGTGCTGGGAAGCTTGGCCGGACTTCGCTTGGAATACCACCCGTACGATGGAGTTGGTGCGTTCTTTGCTCTCTATACCCGTTGATAGTACTGAGCATTCTGCAGATGACTTCGCCATCGTTTGCCATAGCTACCTCCGAGTGCCACCAAAGCACGACGCAGGCGACGAGGCCTTCTGGAGATCATCTGGTGGCGAAGCGCTCCTGACCGTCACCGGTTCAGGTTTGATATACTCTTCAATTTACGACCTTCGCACTTCATGCGCCCCCACATCCAACGCCCACATGCTATACGACAACCGCCCCAAGAGAAAGCAGAAGCTACCTTTGGCGGTAGCGTCGTCGTCCAAGCAGCAGCCTGACGACTATGACGACGACGACGAGGGGCTTAGTTCAGTGGAGGAAATCGGAGAGCAGGTAGCAGAGGGCAAGGAAGAAGAGCCGGTGGTGGAAGTAACAAAAGAAAAGAAGGGGAAGGCGCGTGCAGCCGGAGGCGGGAAGCAAAAGTCGAAGGCGACCGAGCCTAACGCGCGGCGGAGGCCGAAGGCTCCTACTACCAAGGCTACAGGCCGTCAACAAAAGGCCAAGCGAACGGCCAACGACGAGATGGACTTCGACGATGGTGGTAGCAAGGTGGAGCCGGAACCGCTGCCAGCCCGAGCCACGCGGTCGCGCTCCCGTGCGCCGGCTACGTCTGTGTCCATGCCCGATCCACCTGCTGCGCCTGTGCAAACAGGAGATGGATCTATTGGAGGCCGCGGCCGGACTGGAGATGCGCCGGCGCGCCCCTTGCCGCGTCTCAGGAAGCTGGCCGTTGCTGCGTTACCAGGCGAGCCTTCAGCAAGGAACGGGACGGGCAGCAGCATTGCAAATTGCATGCCAGAGGATGCAATGCTCGAAGTCCCCAAGAAGGCCGTTCGGTTCGTCACCGACGTGGCCCCCGGCAAACGCGGGCCAGAAGAGAATGTCTTCCAGCCGCCGCCGAACAAGCGACCGCGGCCTTCAGACGAGTCGCCTGCAACGCTCATCGTGCCCGCCGCACTTGCCGTGCCCGACACCACCGCGCACGCTGCACTCACCACCCCCCCGGCCGGCGCTGTCTCAGGAACCCCGGGTTTCAGCGGCACGACGCTACCATTGCCGTCTTTCGCCTTTCCCGCGGCCTCCTCCACGGTTAATGGTCTACAGCCAGGGACCTCGGGGATAATGCCCGCGCCCAGCAACCCCGCACTCCCGTTTGCTGCTGCAGCCGTCCCGACTCCAACCGCTTCAGACCCAACAATGTGGGCGATGACCGCAATGATGGCAACTCTGTCCGAGGCGCAGAGGGCGCAATTCCTTCAGCAGATGGGATTCGGGACGCGCTGAATCGGCCTTCTTGTTGATTCACGGTACATGTACATTTGCTTACATCTTGTATTTCTTGAAGTTGTGTCGTGTAAATTTACGCAATTGTATTTCTTGTTTACATCTTGTATTTTTTTTGTGCCTTGACACCATCGTATATAGTATAGTGACGTTTGCGACTAAGTATTTCTTGTTTGCAACTTGTATTTTGTTTTGATTTGTGTCGTTGCCGTTGTATATAATATAGTGACGCCGTTGTATGTGGATGCTGGTCCCTAGTGCAGAAGCACTGGTGGCGTAGTGGTAACGCGTCCATACTACCTCTCTCTTGGTAATAATTTTCGAGGCTTCTCATCTTTGGAAGTCCCGAGTTCAATTCTCGGCCAGTGCATTTCTTTTTGCATTATACATTTCTCGCTTGCTCTCCGGCGCGGAAACCCCATATGTGGATGCTGGTCTTGACCACAGAAGCACGTACTGGTAACACATTCATACTCGTTGTTTTTCAGGAGTTATGTATTATATGGAAGTCCCGGGTTCGAATCCCGACTGGTGCATTCCTTTTTGCATTACTTGCTCTCCGGCGCGGAAATCCCATATGTGGATGCCGGTCTTTATCACAGAAGCACTGGTGGTGTAGTGGTAACACATTCATACTCGCTGTTTTTCTGGTGTCATGTAGATCATCTACATGCCCAGACGCAATATATGGAAGTCCCGGGTTCGAATCCCGGCTGGTGCATTTTTTTTCTCATTACTTGAGACCCTGAGCGCGGACACGTGACCAAATGAATCTTGACGCGTTGAACGTCACGAAGGTACTCGCAGCTGCAAACTGGCCAATCCCGCCAATCCCGATGGCCAGGTAAGGTGTGTATTTCCTCAGTATTTCTGGCCATTGCCATGAGGCGAGCCCTGCTAGTAAACCCGCCAGTAGGCATGCGTCCCGAAGGTGCCGAGTCCCGACGGCGGTGCGTTTCTGCACACGCCCGCTCAGCTCACCTCTTTCCCACATATACATGGGCCCAGCCCTACCATAATCTGACATGCCACCAACACGCTACAAGCACGCCAGGAAGTTCGGGGCGAAGGCACCAGCAGTACCAGCAGCAGCATGTGTGTTAGATGTAGCGTGCCTGCCTGCCCCGTTGGCAGACATATCGTGGTTTATGCATCCTGCACGCCTTATTTTAAAATACGGCCGGCGCTACAGGCACTACCCTGCCCGTACTGTCGTCCTACGAGCAAGCAGAAAATGCGCGCAGCAGTCCCGAAGGCCGCTGCCACACCCGCATGAGCCGCGCGACACCTGAGGGCGTCCTGTGCCGCTCGCAGTGGCTGCAGGGTTGTATGTGTGAGCGCTGGGCGGGCACGCTGCGCTGCAGTAGAGTAGCACGCATAGGCGTGCATCCCGAAGGCGCCGAGCCGCCGACGGCGGTGCGTCTCCACAATGTCCTGCACACTCCCGCTCACCCCTTTCCCACATATACATGTTCCCAGGCTTACTATAATCTTACACGCACACACTACAAGCACGCCAGGAAGTCTTGGGGCCCCAGCGGCAGCATGCTTTTAGCCGTAGCGGCCCTGCACTCCATTGCTTGTAGGTAGGGCATAAACTCACTGTTTCCTTACAGAGACAATATTATTTTGATACCACGCAAGCGTACTGACGTCCTACCGCGCATGCACGACGAGCACGCTGGAAATGCGCACCGGGTCCCGAAGGCCGCGCCGTAGCGGTCCTGCACTCCATTGCTTGTAGGGCATAAACTCACTGTTTCCTTACAGAGACAATATTATTTTGATACCACGCAAGCGTACTGACGTCCTATTACCGCGCATGCACGACGAGCACGCTAGAAATGCGCACCGTGGTCCCGAAGGCCGCTGCCACGCCCGTACGTGGCTTCCCGATTAGGACTAGCGGCTATTGGTCAACCTTCGTCTCGCCTGAAACCCCTTCGAAGGACATTTTTACTCAACGTCTAAATTGGCTTCGAAGGGCAATTAGTAAGCAATCAGCTGTCGTCTTAGGTGGACCTGGCGGACTTTCGAACACTCTGCAAGGAAACCAAGTTTGAGTGATTCGCAAGAGCATTGCTTGGGGCTTCGGAAAATCATGATGGAATGGCGAGAAATTATCAAAGCATGCACAAAGTGTTGGTGACCGCAAACGCGCGGGAAATTATTGAGCATGACAATGATCAGTGCTATTCACAGAAACTGCAAGTGACTGATGCCTATTCACATCTGACATCTTCTACTTGCGCATGCTTTATCGCATTTCTGTTACTTGACAGAGCTCGGTGGAGAGTACGTGCGGCACTGCTGGACTCCAAGCCAGTGGACTTCCTTGTTGCGGCTGGGCGACAGGAAGAGAGGGTAATCTTGAGCTTCGACATCGAGTGAGATTCTGTCCGCAGCGGACGTGAGGTAGCAATCAACATGGGCGATGTGATGGTAAGGACTCAGGAACGGACCCTTTCGGCGTAAAGCGCTGAAAAGGCTTCGTAAATGTCGCTCGGCAAAAACTTGAGAGACGAGCACGCATCGCAGGCGAGACAAGTAGCAGGCTTCACCAGAGTGGGTATTAGGCAGAAAAAAGTGAATTTTGTGACTATCCCGGATCCTATCGTAAGGCTGCCAGTGTGACTTAATTTTTTTTTTTTGCCCCATAAATTCGTGTTTACCACCTGAAATATTGCGGGATATTTCAGATGCGACACAGACACACAGTCGTGCCCTTTTCGGGTGTGCGCCACACTGATGGCAAGCACGCCACACTTGGCACAGATGCGCCACACTGGGCTCAAGCGTGCCACACTTGAAGTATGTGCGCCACACCGACTAATGAGAATAGTGGGACGGAAAATATCAATGGATCAGCACGGCAAGCGCCGGATCAAGCCGTAGATTAAGGACCCGACACTAAAAGACAGGAAAGGCCCCACGCAGCGGTAGCCCCACGCAGTGGGCCCCCGCGGCGAGCGGAAGCACCGCGCAGCGGGCCCAGCGGCGAGCGTAAGGGGGGTCCGCGGGGGTCTCCCCCGCGTAAGAGAGCATATAAAAATTACATAAAATTAGTACAGGCCGTCAGGCAGAAGGAGGGGGGTCTGGGGGGAACACCGTTCCCCCAGCAAAAAATTGATACCAAATTGATAATTTAAATACCTTCATTTACACAATGGAAGATATGCCGACTATTGATGGGCAGTGATGGCCGCGGCGGCTGTCTCTTCCTGTAAGGTAGACGTCAAGCAAACGCAACCAACGTTCCAAATCCGGAAAATTGGATCTCCTCATTTTCAGGGACAAAAATGAGAAAACTGGCTCCAACAAGTTGTTGCCAGGTACCTTCTCCGCAGTTTGTTGGGAGCACTTTATTTTTTTAGGTCCTCGTCGTGGAGGAGATCCAATTTTCCGGACTGGGAGAAGCACGTGACGTTGGCAGCGTTTGCTTGACGTCTACCTTACCAATTCGAAGTCACGCGTCGTGGCACGAAGGTCAATCAAACTGCCATATTAGGAACTTGACATTTCGTCCTTGAGCAGCAAGCGCGCCACACTGATGGAGAGTGTGGCGCACATAGAATCAGTGTGGCGCACTCCCACTGTGTGTGTGTGTCGCATCTGATATATACTTGAAATATTGCTGCAGTAAAGCTGTTCAAATCACCTGCTTGCACCCGCGCCAGGTGATGGTGATTATCTGCATATATAAATCAAGGCGGCATTTGAAGTAGACGTGGCGCGAGCGGGTTGCCATGTGCGTCTAAGTACTTATGCAGGGCCTGCGCTGTTAACGTTCCCACACAGATCAGGCAAGTGAACATCACGTCAGAATTTGAGAGCTACTAGTAGTTCTAGCTGAATCAGATACTGTATTCCTGGTCAGTAACTGCGAGACATCTGTCGGGAACCAGACGAGATACGCCGCCCGGAACTTACGGTCATTTTGTCGGCCACAAATAAGCGTGGCGGGAGTCGCTGCTGTCGAGTGGCTGTACAGTGTTTCGGTTCAACGTGGTTCAACTTCAAGAGACGATGGTGCTTACTCCGTTCCCCCGGGCCACGATGCGGATTTCTTTTCTTGTACTTTGAATGTTCCTCCGTGAATTTTTTCAAATCATTATTGGCTTGGACAGTACAGTATTAGCAGCAGGTACAAGCACAAGTAGTATATCAACAAAGACGTCTGCAGCATGTGCAAAGCCACCACCACTGCCCCCAGGCCTAGCTAGGCTGCGCGCGCTTCGACTTTCTTTGTAAATTATAAGTGGGGGAAAATCGAGGTCCATTCTATATCTGCGAAAGTTGGTAGCGGAAGGCTGCGTACGACCGTGAATGCCAGAACGAGAAGGACAACGCGAGCAATGATGTAGAGGGCCATGAGCCCATAATTGAGGTAAGTCAAGACTCCCCTAGGGACACTGTTGTGTGCAAATTGGTTGCTCATCCGCAGGAGCAACAAGCACAGCAGCGGAAACCCTGCTATCAGCGACGCGCCGCCCCTCCACATCCACATTTCAGCGACGGAAGGGAAGCTCGTGTTCCATGCCCAACAGTGCACTACGCCAAATAAAATAGCGCAGATCAGCTGTCCCAATAGGGCAAGTGGAAGCTCGCGCGGGCCCTCTCCAAACGGAATCGACCAAAATGAGGGGAGGCAGGTTGAAGGGACCATGGGATCGAAATGCCGGTAATCTCCGAATAGAGCGGCGTTGAGACGATCCCCGACCGTGAGGCGATGGGGCGGGTCTGTAATCTCGGTATTCTGTCTCTTTTCGGCACAGTCTACAACAGACTCAGCGCAGGGCAATGTTCGTGCGTCGGAGTTTTCGTCGGCAGAGCTCTGTGGATCGCCTTCAACACGTTTGATCTTTCCGCTAAACTGCGTGTCCATAGGCGTCGGATTCATCCATTAGACTGGCTTTCAGCTTCGGGAACAACCGCTATCACCTCGGCCGCGACATACTGCCGCGCGGCAAATCCGAATGTCAGCTCCGGCGCAACCAGGGCAACGAGCATCATCCGCAGATTACGCCAGGCACGCCTTAGAACACCCTGGTTGGGCGGCGGCACGTTGAGGCGGAGCGAAACCCACATGCAGAGGAAGATGGTGGGGAGGCAGCTCCAAATAATGTGGAAGGGTGTTCTGATGTCATCATTGCTGTCGATTGGGAGTCGAGCGTGTGCCATCAGGTTTGCTGGTAGTATTGGCATCTAGTAGAAGCAGATATCGCGACGAGGCGACAAGGCGCCGCAGCGAGAAGGAAGACGCTTTTAAAGTGCCAAGCACGGGCGATTCGGACGCAACTCAGAGCATGTCCGGACGACGTGTCAGTTGCTGTAGAGCTGCGCCAATTGATCGACGTTCGAGGCGTCCGT